AGGCAGCCAAGGACCAGCAGCCTGAAATGGCACTGTCACAACGAGGGATCAATACCCAACATCATCTCCTAAATCAGAGGATTGAGGTAGTGGGGTAGGGACAAGGACGTGGCTAAGAATTAAGAGATTGTAGGATCAGATTCAAACAAGGCAAAGTCAAGGCAGCAGCATAAATCAACCAACCCGTTTTGCAACAATTCAGAAGAAAGAGCGAGAACAAAAAGTTTCCTGCTGAACCCAAGCACTCTTCTGCGAGGTAGGAGCAAAGGAAAAATGCTTACCAGATGCTGAGACTGATAGTGCCGGCCTGTTTACATTCCCTGCTTAATTTCAATAGTGAAATAATCCCACACCTTCACCCTTCGCAAGCTTTCATCAGCTGATTTTAGAATTCAGGAAGAATTTAAGAATAGATGTTAGGAGACAAAAAGGACTAATTTTTCAAAATGGTCTTATTTGAACTTGGAAATCTGCTTCGCATTGTCTGACATACTCACCTGTGAATCACAAGGTCAATGGTTTGAACACACCTGCTACTCTGTGGGAGAAAAGTGTGGAAGACTGCTTCTATAAAGATTTACCGCCTCGGCCACCCCACGGGCCAGTTCTACTTTGTCCGATGTGGGTACTGTGCACTGAAGTCAACATGGCAGTGAGTTTGGTTTGGTCTATTTCTCCTCAGCTACAGAAAGTGGAAGCACAGTTAAAGTTCTAGGCTGTGGATGGAGAGATTGGCCGTGGATGAAAGAACGGATGATCGACTCTTGAAAATTCAGCAATTGAGACTCCGAGAGCAAAGACTTCCACTCTGACACAATTGGGATTTCCAGGAGGCAGAATTGAATTGGCTGTAGCTGTTTTTGCATAAAGATACTTGTCCCATGCAGTGCAGTGAGTTATTTAATGTGGCTCTTCTTGCCATCATCTCCCATAGTAATGGCAGTCATAATAATTCCCATGACACAAACTTTTTTTTTTAATTGGACTGGGTCAGAGAAGGTGGGGGGACATATAGGCTTCAGGTGTGTCAGTGCTTGCTAGCAGGATTCATTGTGATTGCCAATACTGGTTCTAAAACGAGCTTTCTCGGAAAGAGGGAGGGGGATCTCACTACCAGCAAGAGCCAGGAAGGAGTACAGTGTTCTCTCAGGATCCCGGAATTCCTCGTGACCCCAGAGGATCTGCAGAGGAACTATGACAGCAGAACCGAGAGCCAGAGCAGTGGACTGTCCAGCCCACCGAGGGAGTAAAGCTGAATGCTTTTGAGCAAGGAGGCTGACTTGTGGAGTGTGGTGACTCTGGGCTCTTAATTCAGGGAGCTGCATTTGTTGATGCCCAGAACCGGAACTGAGAGCCTTCAGTTTGAGGTTCACAGCAGAGTGATGTGCTCCTGAATTCTTCATTGGAAGCCCCCAACTAATCTTGTAACATGCCTCGCTGAGCAACTATATCCTGGTCGTTTCTCACCTGAATTATAGCCTATTAGCTTTCATAATAGACTGCATAATCATGAGCATTATGAGTTGTGTGTCCATTGCAATGAGTTCTAGAACCCACATGAAAAGTAGACAAAGCAATAGCTCATTGTTTATTAGAAAATATTTCAGAAGAACATATCATAATTTTAGATCCTCCCTGTCAAATATCCTTTAAGATAGACCAGGAAACTATCAGGGTGTTGCAGTGATAAGATTAAACCACTTGAGGGCAGCAAAAGAACATGTCATGTCTGTCTCAGACAATTTAACCTCCAAAATACAACACATATACAAAATGTGGTGTTTTTTAAAAAATTTTTTCAGGTACTTTTACCTATGTTTAAAGCAGTGGTTCTCAACCTTCCTAATGCCCCAATCCTTTAACAAAGTTCCTCATGTTGTGGTGACCCCTCCCCCAACCATACAATTATTTTCGTTGCTACTTCCTAAATGTAATTTTGCTACTGTTATGAATGGAGCGACCCCTGTGAAAGGGTCGGTCGACACCGAAAGGGGTCGCGTCCCACAGGTTGAGAACTGCTGGTGTAAAGCTTATTATATATAGTCTCTCACTTTCTTAGTTTACATTCAAGATAGTATCGTTCATGTAAATGGAATAAAAATAAAAAACTAATTTAAGCCTTCTTTTATTGGCTTAACAGCACCATTTCGCTGTGGCATTTGACAGATGTAACTATGAGGTATGACTCAATTCAGTCATATTTGCAGGTTTTTCACCTCAAATCATTTTTCAGATTCATGTAAGGGTCTTCTTATGTCCATCCACTTATGGATTCATGCATGTGTTTGTTTATTCACTCCGGGTTGTTAGGGAAAATACAATTATGGGGCTATTACTGTGAGCACCACACCTGACCTGTCCCTTTGTAGTACTGGAGTGGCTTGCAGGTTGCCGTGTCCCCAGGATCTAAAACACCAGTTGAGCCCATGCTAGGTAGGTTTCAGGAGAGCTTGGAGGAGAACACAGATGGAAAGAAGGAACAGGAAGGCCACTGGTGAAAAATTCGTCATTGGAAACGTTCTAAGTAGCAGTTGCACTTTGTCTGATCACAGTGCCAGCCTACGCATGAGCCTCTCGGGCGGAGACACTCAGACGGC